GAGAATTTAATATTTGTTACTTTCCCTTAATATTATACTCTTTGGATTTAAAAGGTATACTAATTCATACTGGTAAATTAATCATATGTAGTACATTTCTGCCAAGTACCAAATTTTCCAGAACAGAAAAAAACCCCACTGACATTAACTCAGTGGAAAACTGCATTTGGCAGCTATATATGGAAAATATAACTGCTTCCCTAAAATCACATTGCTGGTACAAGAAGTACAGGTTTCTTGCAAAACAACCTAGCGGAAATGTTAATGTTATTACAAAAAGAAGAAAAGTTTACACATTTTGTTGTAAAAAGGTTAAAGGTACTCAGAGTCGCCATCAGGGGGACAGCCCATACTTACATTATATTGCCAAATGTATTGGGACACCCCGTCAAATCATTGGACTCAGGTGTTGCAATCACCTCCATGGCCACAAGTTTGTAAAATCAAGCACCTAGGCATGCAGACTGCTTCTAAAAACATTTGTGAAAGAATGAATTGCTTTCAGGAGTTCAGTGAATTCAAACTTGGTGCTGTGATAGGTTGCCACCTGTGCAATTAGTCCATTCATGAAATTTCCTTGCTACTAAATATTCCATGGTCAACTGTTAGTTGTATTATAACAACATGGAAGCAGCTGAGAACAATAGCAACTCGGCCACGTAAAATGACAAAGCGGGGTCAGCGCATGCTAAAGCACTGTCAAGGTCCTACCTTTTCACAGAGATTGTGCTGCTTCATGTGCTGGCGTCTATCTTGGGTTTCTGCAGAGCATGGTGGGAGTCTTTTCTGCCTTCAGGCCTCTGAGGTCCATCCCCCAGAGGGGTGTGGCTAATTACATATAAGCCTGTGATTCGCACATGCCCTTTGCAATTGTGTCTTGGTGTTGCTACAGCTCTGTTCATACTCTCGTGACTCTCCTGGAATCTGACTCGGCTTGTGACTAGACCATTCTCTGTGTTTTCCTTTGATCTGACCTTCCGTTGCTGAACCCGGCCCATGACCTGTGATTCTTGTCTACTGTTCTGTACCGTTTTGTCCCGTTGTTGTCGACCCGGCTTGCCTGACTATGCTGTTGTCATTCCTACCAGCTACATGCCATTGCCGGCGGCCATTACCGCAGCCGGGGTGTCTCGAGGGGCCGCGACCTGGTTCCTGGCTGCGTCAAGTCCATCCCCACCATCAGGGGCTCTGGTGAAGGGCAGACTGGGACTTAGACTCCGCGCTCTGAGGAACTTCGGTCTGTGGGTGGTGGTTGTTGTCAGTCAGTGCGTTACCCTGCCACTAGGCCTGCCTGTCTGTTCCACAGCCCCTGCCCTGACAAGCACACAGTGCGCAGAGGTCGACAAATGTCTGCAGAGTCAATAGCTAAAGACCTCCAAACTTCATGTAACCTTCAGATAAGCACAACAACAGTGCGTAGAGAGCTTCATGGAATGGGTTTCCATGGCCGAGCAGCTGCATCCAAGCCTTACATCACCAAGTGCAAAGCGTCGGATGCAGTGTTGTAAAGCACGCCACCACTGGACTCTAGAGCCGTGGAGACGTGTTTTCTCTGGAGTAATTCTGTCTGACAATCTGATGGACATGTCTGGGTTTGATGGTTGCCAGGAAAACTGTACTTGCCTCACTGCATTGTGGCAAGTGTAAAGTTTGGTGGAGGGGGGATTATGATGTGCAGTTGTTTTTCAGGTGTTAGGCTTGGGAATCTAGTTTCAGTGAAGGGAACTCTTAAGGCGTCAGCATACCAAGATGTTTTGGACAATTTCATGCTCCCAGTCCTGACGTCAACCCGATAGAACATCTTTGAGATGATTTAGAGCGGAGACTGTGAGCCAGGCCTTCTCATCTGACATCAGTGTCTAACCTCACAAATGCACTTCTAGAAGAATGGTCAAACATTCCCATAGACACTAAACCCTGTGGACAGCCTTCCCAGAAGAGTAGAAGCTGTTACAGCTGCAAAGGGTGGGCCAACTCAACACTGAACCCTCTGCACTAAGACTGGGATGCCATTAAAGTTCATGTGCATATAAAGGCAGGCATCCCAATACTTTTGGCAATATAGTGTATGTAGGGGGCTTGGGCATCCCAAGGAGCCCAGACAGCGGTCCCCAGCCAATCAGTTGTTGCATGGGTGGCCGGAGTTTCGTCTCTGTGAGGGGGGGTGCCACTCGCCGCTTCTAGTGTTGACTTCCATGTCCACACAGCGGACCGCCCACCTGTGTTCTTAGCTACAGATGCCATGTTGGGAGGAAACTCTCTGGAGTAGAAAGTCAACTGACAGGCGTTGGCCAACAGAGTGCAGGGGGAGGAGCTCTCCCTCGTGTGAGGAGACCCCAGAGATGCAGTGGAGACACATGAAGGGAGCCAGACAAGCAGTAAGTGCCCAGGATGAAAGAAACAACACACTAATTGGGTGGTAGGCCAAGACAACTACCTAGCTGCCATGGGGCTTCTAATCTGGGTTGTAGGGGGGATGGTACAGACACAAGGGACACTGAGATAGTCATCTACATTTGACAGGTAGGTAGTAAGACTTTCCTGTAAACCTTTGGGTGATCAGTGTACACAGAAACCCCTGAGGGCTTGGAGCTTGCAATGATGCATATGGCAGTTAACCACTTTCCACTCAGAAGAATACTGACATTTCTCTCCTACATGTAAAAAGCATATTTTTTTTTCTAGAAAACTACTTAAAACCCCAAACATTACAAATATTTTTTAGCAGAGGCCCTAGAGCGGGTGTCGGCAACCCGCGGCTCCAGAGCCGCATGCGGCTCTTTTTCACCTTGGCTGCGGCTCCGGAGCACACTGCCCACCAGGTGACAGGCAATAGGGCAGCAATGGGCAAACTACGGCCCGGCGGACCTTTTAATCCGGCCCGCGGAGCTAGGCTCCCGCTAGGCTCCTCTCACAGTCCGCCCTGAAGACCGGTGTAGCATGAAAATCTTTCTCCTATGAGGATCTGTCCCCCTCGACGTATCTGCGCATGTGCCGGAGATCGCCGATCTGCTGCTAATGCCTGAAACTGGCACATGCGCAGATACGTCGAGGGGGACAGATCCTCATAGGAGACAGATTTTCATGCTACACCGGAACGGCGCGGGAACACGGCGAGAGGAACGCGCGAAGCAAAGGTAAGTGAATTGACACAGGGGGGACTTGGGGACTTAATATGGGGGATGAATTAATATGGGGGATGAATTACTATAGGGGGGATGAATTACTATATGGGGGATGAATTACTATGGGGGATGAATTACTATATGGGGGATGAATTACTATAGGGGATAAATTACTTTATGGGGGATGAATTACTATATGGGGGATGAATTACTATGGGGGGATGAATTACTATATGGGGGATGAATTACTATATGGGGGATGAATTACTATGGGGGATGAATTACTATGGGGGATGAATTACTATGGGGGATGAATTACTATATGGGGGATGAATTACTATGGGGGATGAATTACTATATGGGGGATGTATTTTCAGTTTTAAAAATGTGGCTCTCAAAATAAATTTCAATCGTGGTTTTGGTGAGATTTAGCTCAGTTGAAAAAAAAGGTTGCCCACCACTGACCTAAGGCTATGATTGTGATTATGACGATACACTGTAGCCCTGATTAACCCTTTGCTTACTGGGCCCTTAAACCCCCTTCATGACCAGAGCGCTTTTTGCAATATATGCAGTGTCGGATTTGTTTTAAATGTTGCAATGGTTTTGCGGCTCCCAGTCTTTTTTTCCCTCTCGGAAACGGGTCCAAGTGGCTCTTTATGTCTTAAAGGTTGCAGACCCCTGCCCTAGAGAATAACATGGTGGGTGTTGCAATTTTTTATATCACACAGTATTTAAGCAGCAGTTAAATGCAATGGAAAAATACAATTTAATGAATGTTAATGCAAAAAAATAACAATATATAACCCAACATTTGTAAAATATAAAAGGTGAAATAGTAAATAGGATACCCAACATGTCATGCTTTAAAATTGCGCATGCTTGTGGAATGGCGCCAAACTACAGTACTTAAAAATCTCCATAGGCGACGTTTGTACCAGTTACAAAGGAGGTCTGGGGCTAGAATTCTTGCTCTCACTATAACATTCACGGCGATACCTCACATGTTTGGGGTGAACACTGTTCACATACTTGTGACCTATGTATGTGTTCACCACTGCGTGCAAGCATGGGGGAGCTTAACAATTTATTTTCATTATTTAATTTTAACTTTTACACTGTCCCTTTTGAATTTTTTTTTTTCACTTTGTAAACATCCCTTGTGATAGAAATAAGGATGACAGGTCCTCTTTATGGAGACATCTGAGGTCAATAACACTCCAGATATCTCCTCTACCCTGGAAAGCAGAGATAATAAAACAAAAACATTGATCTCTGCTCTCCAGGGAAAAAGATGGGAATTTTCTCCTACCTCCATTGAGCTTACCATGTGTACAAATAATAATTTAGGATCATGAATACAAGGATCAAAAGTAATTAAAAACAGACAGAAAAATGAGTTAATTCTAAAATAGATAGTAAGATAAAGTAGGGAGAAATATATAGATCGGCCTATAGAATCTATCTATCTATCTATCTATCTATCTATCTATCTATCTGAATCTGTGTAACCTCTCTGTAACATATGCTGTATATATAGAGATCTATTGGTGGGTGAAGAAATGTCAGTATTATCATTAGAGATGAGCGAATTATTCAAAAATTCGATTCGACTGATTCGGCGAATTCGTGAAAAAATTTCGATTCGAGTCGAATATATTCGCTGCGAATTTAACTTATAAAAGGGTGTTTCTAGGCTTCAGAGAGCCTTTATATTAGTGCAGAACACTGTACCTTTAATTTAAGTGCCCTTGGAGTCTGCTGGGGAAGAGAAATAATACTGACAGTCAGTATGACATGCAGATGAGTGCCGTCGATCTTAGAATCACCGCACACTTCACTCATTTGGGAAGTCACGGGGCCAAAACCAGAGTGTGGAGCCACAGTGTGGGCGGTGGAGGCAGCAGCAATGGGAGGCCATACAGCACCTATGACAAAAATGGAAACCACCAGCAGTGTGAGGAGACCTGAAAGTGGCACATGGCAGAGTGTGGCGATGGAGACAGCAGCAATGGGAGGCCGTACAGGGACCCATGACACACTCTGGACCTGGCAGCAGCATGAGGAGGCGGTACAGGGGCCCATGACAGATTACGGGCCTGGCAGCAGCATGAGGAGTTGGTACGGGGGCCCATGGCAGATTACGGGCCTGGCAGCAGCAATGGGAGGCCGTACAGGGACCCATGACACACTCTGGACCTGGCAGCAGCATGAAGAGACGGAACAGGGGCCCATGACAGATTAC